TTGTTAAAAAGTTGGGACTTGATGCTAAGAGTAAAGAAAGTCACCGCTGGGCTGTCGGTAGCCAAATATCCAATCAGATGGTTGTTTGAAATGGCAGTAAATCTGACAAGAACACAGAATTAGTAAAAAAAAAATATATATATATATATATTTTTATATAGTTATATATATACTATATATACACACTATCTTGTATAGTTATATATATATAACATTAGTTATATATATATATATATATATATATAAACTCGAAATAGATTGATTTGGAGGCTGTTTCCTTCTCTCCAAGCCTGAAGTGACAACTGTTTGGACTCAGGCTGTGGCAGGGAGGTTGGAGAGAAATGGACATATTAGAGCAATATTTAGAAGGTGTCATCAACAAGACTTGACTGATTGAATGCAGGGGTATGAGGGATGGAGGAGTTCCAGATTTGGTGCTGGTAAAAATCCACCTCCAGGAAAAGGAAGAATTATCAGCAGGAAGATGAGTTCAATTTGGGGTAAGAAAGCCAAAGGACTATAAGGGGAATTGGTGTCACAGAAGCCTTGGGAGAAAATTTTAGGGAGCCAGTGGTCTACATGTCACATGTTGCCAGAGGTCAAGTGAAATGAGAAGAGCAAGCTGTCTACATCCACTTTACAAACGTAATCAAACCTTTTGTCCTGAGAATCAGATTTGTTTAGTAACTTAAACTCATGCAGTTTGTAAATTTTAGAGTGAAATTAGAGCCCAGAATTTGTGACTCTAAAGTTCACACTTTGTGCACTTATTTTTTTAATACACCATTTTTCTGAGTAGTTTTGGGTTTACAGAAAAATTGGGCAAAATATATAGAGAATTTCCAGCATCCCTTCGCCCCAGTTCCCACTGTTACTAGCGTCTGGCATTAGTGTAGTACATTTGTGACAATTGATTAGCAAATATTGATACATTATTATTAATTAAAGTCCATAGTTTACATTAGGGTTCACTCTTTGCTTTATACATTCTATGGGTTTTGACCAATGTATAATGATATTTATCATTACAATATCCTACAGAATACTTTCACTGTTCTAAAAATCCCCTATATTCCACTTTTCCATCACTTCTACACCCTCCCCCACTGACAAGCCCCTTAGCAACCACTGATGTTTTTACACTTTCTATAGTATTCATCTTTTTTTAAAAGAAGATTTTATTTATTTGAAAGAGAAAGAGAGTGAGTCTGTGCTGGAGGAGGGGCTGAGGGAAAGGGAAAGAGAATCTTAAGCAGGACTCCGTGCTCACACAGGACTCCATCTAATGACCCTGAGATCACGACCTGAGTTGAAACTGAGTCAGATGCTTAACAGACTGCACCACCCCGGCACCCGGTATGCAGCCTTTTAAGTAGGCCTCTTTCATTTAGCAGTATGCATCTGAGTTTCCTTCATGTCTTTTCATGGCTGGACAGCTCATTTCTCTTTATTGCTGAATAATATTCTATTGTCTGGATATACCTCTTTGTTTTATCCATTGCTGTAAACCTTCAAGTGCAGGTTTTGGGTGGATAAATCATTTGGGTAAATACCAAGGAGCACAACTGCTGGATTATATGGTATGGTTATGTTTCGTTTTATAAGAAACTGGAGACTGTCTTCCAAAGTTGCTGAATAATTTTGCATTCCCACCAGCAATGAATGAGACTTTTTACTGTTCCACATCCTCACTAGTATTTGGTGTTGTCAGTGTTTGGGATTTTAGTCATTCCAATCGTTGTGTGGTGGTATTTCATTGTTGTTTTAGGTTATAATTCTCTAATGATACATGATGTTAAGCATATTTTCATGTACTTATCTGTCACCTGTGTATTTTCTTTGGTGAGGTGTCTGTTCAGATCTTTTGCTCATTTTCAAATTGAGGTTTTTTTTTTTTTATTATCACTTCTTTTATCAGTAACTTTTATCAGTAACTAGATTTTATTTATTTATTTATTTGAGAGAGATCAGGGGAGGGGCAGAGGGAGAGGGAGAGAGAGAATCTCAAGCAGACACTGAGCTGAGCATGGAGCCCGATCCCGGCCTTGATCCCACAACACCTGAGCTGAAATCAAGAGTCAGATGCTTAACCGACTGAGCCATCCAGGTGCCCTCTCTCCTAAATTGCTTATAGTTGAGTTTTAGTTTTGTTTTTCAAGTATCCTTTATGTTTTAATATGTTCAGTTAATTAACATTTAGTGCCATCATTTATATGGTTGGATGTAGGTCTAACTAAATTGTTTTCTGTTTCTCCCTACCAATTCATGTTCCTCTGTTTTCTCTTTTCTAGTTTTTTTTATTATTATGCCTATTGGCTTTTTAGAAATTATCTTTTGAAATTTTTTTAGTGACTACTGTAGGGACTACACTACACAGGTTTAAGTCTTCATAGTCTGCTTCATGTTAATATTCACAATTTACTTATTATTTAATATTGAACAATTTATTATAGTTATAAACTTTGCACTTATTCTTCTGTTATTTTTATAAACTTCAAATTCCACAAGACAATACTATAAATTTTTCTTTGTAAAGATATACATGTTTTAAAGAAAAAAATTATCTTTGTTCACTCAGATATTACCCATTTTTGATACTCTTCTTTGATAACCGAAGTTCTGACTTTCCCTCTGGTATCATTTCCTTTCAGCATAAAGAAGTTTCTTATAATTTTCTTGTAGTATAATTCTGATGACAACACATTTTCTTAGATTTCATTAATTGAAAAAGTCCTTTATTTCATCTCTTTGAAGGATTTTTCTCTATAAAATTATGGCTTAAATTTTTTTCCCCTCTTCATTCTGGACTATAAGATATTGTTTCCCTGTCCCCTGGTTTCCATGGTTTCTGATGAGAGTCCTTGGTCATACAACTATTTTTCTTTGGATGCTTTCAAAATATTATCTTTACCTTTGGTTTTCAATAATTAGACTACAGAGTGCTTAGGTGTGGTAGCTTTTTTGTTTATGTGGTTTGGGATTTTCTGAGCTCCTTGAACTTGAAAAATTATGCCTTTAACAAAATTGGGAAGTTTCCAGCCACTAGTTCTTCAGATCATTTTCTGTTCTATTTTCTCCTTTGTGTTCTTCCTGGAAATCCAATTACATTATATAAGACATTTTTACATTGTTGCACAAGTCCCTGAACTCTGTTCCTTTTCCATCCCTCTTCTCTGTTTTTCAAATTCGATAAATTCTGTTGATCTATGATCAAGTTCACTGACTCTTCCTATGTCATCTCCATTATACTTCACAGCCCATCCGGTGAATGTGTTTCAGATATTTGAGCTTTTTGTTTAATTTAAAAAATATTTTGCATTCCTTTACTGAATTTTTTTCCTATTTATTGTGGGCATATTTCCTTTACCTCAGTGATGATACTTTAATTACCTGCTTTAAGCCCTAGTCTGATTTCAGTCATCTAGATCATGTAAAGGCTAATGTTTATTGGACTTAGTTTTGTTTGTTTCCCATGAAATTAACGAATAGGTCACATTTTTCTGGCACTTCATATATTGAATAATTTTGCAATGTATTCTGGATATTATATTATGTTGTGGAGCCTTGGTGTCTGTCTCCAATATTCCTCTGAAGAGTGTTGATATTCTTGTTTCAGCAAGCAGTTAATTTGGTTCACTTGAATGCAAACTCTATCATCCTTCTAGTGGGCAGGGATTCAAATCTCAGTTGATATTGCTCTTATTCTGTCCCATGCATGTGTGGTTTAGAGGTTAGCCGATGTCGTATAAATTTATACACAGAATTTGTGACTTCTCTTCTCTGCCTCTCCCTTTTCTGGGATTTCCCACATCCAGAATAATGTTTAACCAAATAGCTGGGCACCTAATGGCCCAGCCAAATTGACACATAAAATTAACTGTCACTCTGTATCAGGTTCATCATCACGTTTTGAATGTTTGCCTGGAAGACACACATTGTCCGCTTATCTACTTAAGGAATTCTGAGTTACACTTCATCAACTTTCATGCAACTTAGAATTGCCAACCACTGACAACAGCTTCTTTCTGCACTTCCGTAAACAATCCCTCATATCTACTTGTATTTTTAATTATTCTTTTCTTTCCCTAACAACATTGTCAAATAGAACTTTCTGTGATGATGCAGATGCTTATATCTGCACAGTTCCATATAGCATTGAATTAGCCACGGTCGGCTTTGAACACTGGAAATGTGGCTAGTGTGATAGGGAAATGGAATTCTTAACTTTAGTTAATTTAAATTTAGACAGCCACGTGTGTCTAATGACTACTATATGGACAGTGTATCCTTGAACATGATTTTGTTTCCTTTTTCAAAATGTATTGGCTAACAGACATATTTCTCTGATAATTTGCTTTGATCTACTTAATTAAATAACAATTTATGGGGTCATACGATGTGTAATATTAAGCATGCTTTTTATTCCTTTTCTCAGTCTCAGAAACTTTTTTTAAAACTGTTTTGATTTTTTTTTTAGTATCTGAAAGTTACTGATCTATTCCAACACACACCCATAGAGTCAAAAATCCTTTTACTTTTACTATTCTACAAAAAAATTTAAAATGGTATGTTCTCTACATGCATGGTCACTGTAGTCATTCCCCTTTTGCCAATCTTCCTAAACATGTTAAAATTATTATGAATTCATATTTTTTCCATGGAAACTGTTATTACAAACTATTAGTTGTGCTGTATTTCTGAAGCCTCTGCCCCTCAATTGTTTTCTAAGAAGATTACTTTTAAGCTTGTCAAGAAACTTTCCTCCTAATCGCTGCTAATTTTCTAAGTGCTGGGAATTAGCATTGATTGAATTAGTTATTGTTACTCTCCTTTATAGAAATAATAAGAATCTTTAAAAATAAGTCCTTACAATTCATTATTTTTTATGTTGAATTTTAAACTGTGGGTGTGACCATTTAACACACCAATTGAAGATTTTTACTTTATATGTTACAAATTTTTCAATTTATTTCATGATCTTTTGATATTTATCATTTCAGGACCACCAAACAATTTTGAGAGCATGGGCTGTAAAAGATTTTGCTCCAAATTGCCCTTTGTATGTCCAGATATTAAAGCCTGAAAATAAATTCCATATCAAATTTGCTGGTAAGTTCAGTCTCAAACTGAGATACTTCGAATTTCCTCAAACTGTGATACTAAGGGTTATGTCTCTGAAATTAGTGGCAACTTAATATATTCATGATTGCATAGAATAGAAGGATTTCTTTTTTCATCTACTTGTTATGAGAGAATATTCACTTTAAAAAGTGGCAAGGTAATGTTTAGGGAGTGAATTTTTACTTTTTTATATAATTTGGTGATTTAAGCAACTGAATTTACTGGATACCTTGGTAAGACTATAAATAGATTAGCACTTACAGTTTTATGCATAATATAAATACAGGTTTTGAATGCTGCAGCTATTAATTTACGCTTACGTTTACACATAGATAGTGCTTTGTTATAGATTACTTAATACATATGTAAGCTTACATATGCATTAGAGTAATATTAAAATAATTCAAATGTATTAAAATAGATTTATTTGGAAATAAGGTAGATTTTGAAAACATTTCAAGAAAAACATACAAGTGAGTTTTTCATAGAGACACCACTTTTAAAGTAATTTCATATGAGATTATACTTTAAACTGGAAAATGAACAGTAAGATGATACTTTATTTTTTTCTTAAATGTTTCTGTAGGAACTAATTTTGATCCAAGCAGTAATTTATGTACATTAAAAAAAATAACATCCTTGTTTTTTTTAACATTTCACCTTAATAATTTAAAGCTGCAAACATCATTAAAACGTAAATCATTTTAACTAAGTGGTAGCAAAATGTATTTTCTTCATCTATGTTTAAATATCTTAAAATGCTTACCTATTTGTATATGATAATTAATTGAAAAATTATAAACACTAAGAAATTTCTAAATAATATCAAGAAAACCACGAAATTATTGCAATTCAGTTTGCTGTTTTTTTATCTTTTACTCTTGCTTCTAATGGCATCAGTTTTCTCTAAAAATGTATAGCAAACTAATCAATGGCTCTTAACCATGGCTGCATTTTAGTATCTGTTTGGAAGTTTGTTTTAAGTACCACTACTGATTTAAATGGTTTGTGATGATGGTGCTATGTTTTTTTTTTTTTAAACCTGTTCCTTAAACTGAAAATTTAAAATAAGAGCACCTCCTTTGTAAATGGCTTTGTGAAATTTAATGGAAAATACATGTAAATTCTCCATCTGCTACCTGTTACATATGTAATTAGCATTCAAGAAATGCCAGTTGTTTATCTAAAAGACCTTTGCAACTAGCTGCTGTGTTTTTATTATTATTTAGTAAAAGGAATATTTTTGTAAAAATTTTTATCGTACCTGATAATGACTTATTATGATATAATTTTAAGGAAGGCAGTAATGACATAAGTCCTAAAGATGTGAATTTAAATTAGTACCACCACTTAAGATTTAGGTAGCCAAATTAGTGTTCTGAGCCCTATTTTTCTCTTCTGTTACTTTATATATCATATGTATAATGTCTCTATTTCATTGGTTAAGATCAGCAGTAAGGATTGAACAATATCTGAAACATATTAGGTGCTCAATAAATGGTTATCATATGTGGATCCTAAAGCAATATGTAGTTTGGGAAAACAATTTATAATTTTGAATGTGTTATAACTAAAATTCAGAATAGGCTTTAGTTCTTTCCTCTTCTTAACAGGCCCTAGGTAGGTTTACAACAGATAGATCAAACTCACTGAAATAGTCCACCTTTACAAATAAAAAATTACAAAGACTATTTGCATTGATTCTCTTTCATATTCTTATCTCACCATTATTTTGATAAGCCCATTGAAATGAACGGGATAGTTAAAAGTTCTATCCTGATAGTTTATCACAATATTTCTTATTTATGGCACCTGCTGAAAGTCCTTTTAATGATGTCTGTATTCTTTTAGGCTGAGATTACAACATCTCAGAGGAACTCTTCTTTTATATTATAAAAAGATAAAAGCATCCTAGTTTCATTAAAATGTCATAAAACAGTTTGGGTTGATGTATGAGACTCTTAAACCAATATAATAAATTTCACATCTCAGCATGAGGTTATAAGATTACAGACTTTACCTTTCAAAAGACAGTGTACCAAGCTGACAGTTTGTATGGTAGACTGTTAAAATAATGGTCTTCAATGAACCATGTTCCCTGTGTCTGTCCACTGTTGATGGGATCTTGCGGCTTATTCCGTGAAGAGGTGAAATGTAGTTCTCTACCACTTGAATACAGGCTGGTCTTGTGACTGTGACCAGAATGTGACAAAAGCTACATTGTATGACTTCAGAGGCTAAGTCTTAAAAGTTTGTGCTTCTGCTTTCCCTTCACCAGAAAACTACCCAGAGAACTGCATGTAAAGCTTCCCAATTTAGCCTCCCTAAGGATTAAAAATCGCATGGAAAGTGACGCTTATCCATCCCAGGCCCCCCACCTCTCTAGCTCCTGACTTAGTCACAGTCAACCCAAAGAGTCATGCTGACATACAGAATTTTGAGAAATTAAGTATTGGTTGCTTAAAGTTATTGAATTTTGTAGTTATTTGTTATTTGGCAAAAGATAACTAATATCATTTGTAATAAAATAATAATTGCTTTAATCTTAAACCAATATTCATTTGATAATATTCATTATATTTTTGTCTTCTCATTCCCATGAGTGTTAAATAGCACAATTCCAATTATATAGGATATAAAATGAGATAATTTTATTTCTGTTTATTTAAATAGCCTCTTCAATACACCCTAAATTGTGGAACTACTACCATGACTATAATTTATGTATTTTTTAAAAGTAAATCCATTTTTTTAAAAGATGAAAAGAAGAAACTTTCAAAATTTAAGTTATAAATATATAAAATATTAAAAAGTAAAAACAATATAGCGACCTAGCAACTATTGCTTTATGCACATCTACTAGTCATATCATATATGGATTCTTTCCTTCTGAACAAAGTCACTATGTTCATTAAACTATTGAATTGTTACAATATCATTTGAATGAATTATTATATTATTAATTATATTTAAAATAATCTACACTTTGATGAGAGTTATAAGAGAAAAGACTATATGGGAATGATTTCAGCAGCAGAAAAGATATGTTCTTACTCATTTCATCACGAGAGGAAAGTAAAAATAGTAAGTCTGCAGATAGAAAATATCTTTGGTAGAATAATAGCTATGATACAGAATTTCTGAATATAAACCACTACAAATTTTAATGTGATTCAATAACATAAAAATATACTTCATAGATAATTTGATTATTTTAATTACCACAAATTTCCTAAGAAGAAAATAAACACAAATGGCTCATAGAAAAATTAGCTTTCAGCAATTTTCCTTTTTATGATAAATTACAGTCAAAGTAAAGAGATCGATACTGCAAATCCTGGAATGAGACCATCCTCAGTCAAATTTCCATTCTACTATATAGTAACTATGTGACCTCAGGCTTCTTAATTTCTCTCAGCTTGAGTTCTTTGAAATATAAAGTGTGGATAATAAGAGAAACTATCTCATAGGTTTATTATAATTTAAAAAATACTTAAAAGAACATCAGTCACTAGTAATTGGTACCTATCAAATTGATGATTATCATGAATCTTGAGTACCTATTTTTCATCCTCCTCACAATTCTATATTATCTTTATTCCCAGGAAAAGTGACTGGGGATTGCTCATGATGTTTTATGGCTTATTATAGACATTCAAAAAGCACATAGTTCTCAGCTGGCACATATTTTCCAAAGAGTAGAAAAAGATCTCTTCCCAACTCATTTTATGAGACTGACCTAGCCATGATACAAAACTTATTGAGGATAGCATGAGAAATGACTAGAGACCAATTTAATTGTTAACATAGTTGAAAAATTATATAAAATATATTAGCAAAACTATCAAAGTAATGTATTTAAAAAATAATATATCATCACCAAGTTGAAATTATTCCAGAAATAGATCATCATGTCAAAGGAGAAAATAGTATTTCAATGGATACGAAAGAAACTTTTAAGAGAGAATTCAGTATCCATTTACAATTTGAAAAAAAGAAAAAGAAAGAAAGAAAAAGTGTTAGAAATCTACGAGGAAAACATTTCTTAGCCTAAGGAAAATTATCTACACAATAACCTAGAAGAAAAAATAATGACCACATATTGAAAGTCTGCCTTTAAGATTAGGTACAAACAGGGATGCTTACCAAACCACTTTTACTCAGCATTTTCCTGGAAATCCTAAGGAGTGCAGTAAGACTACAAAAATAAATAAAAGGAGTAAGCACTGGAAAGCGAGATATAAAATTGCCATATTATTTAAATACGATTTTCTACAGTATTCCTTACATACTTTTTCCTTAGGGGACCTCATTCATTTCTATGATTTCCAAAATTACATCTCTCCCTCAGTATTCACTATGAGCTTCAGTGTTGTATCTTTGTGTAGTCAATATCTCCTATTAGGTTTCTAACAGCTGTCTCAAAATTAAGATATCTAGAAATATTTACTGATTTTCCCTGACTTAAAATCTGTTTCTGTCCCATTCTTCTCAGCACCATCTACTTAGAACTCGAGCCAAAATCCATGAATCATTCTTCAATCATTTGCATTCAATCCATCAAGTCCTATAGGTTGGTTAGACTCCCTGAGCATCCCAGGCTTACCCACTGAACCCTAGTTCATGCCATGATCATAGCTGTGTCAAAACACTCCCCTTTCCTTCTTTCCTGGGTATCCATGAGTTCTGCCTATAGTCTTACTTCTAGTCTTCATGTTCCCCAGCACATTTGCAGTAGTGATTACCATTTGTCTGGTATAATAGGTTGCTACATCTTCGTGCCTCCAGTGTCAGCCTGAACTCACTAGTTTTCTCTTTCCAGTATATCGATGCCAGCATTCTTTTACCACATCATTAATTTTAAAAGATTCTTTCTGGTGGGTTATTTTTTTGTCAACCTCTGTAGAACAAAAGTCAAATGGTACTATAGCTTTGGTTGTGTTAAATCTCTTTTCCAGTGAGAAATATTTTTTATCAATACACTTATT